GATTGGTAGGAGCACCATGCACTTTCCCTTTGGCAGAGACCTGACTTTCCTGATGTACCCAGAGTTGGGTGGAGGAAAGTCCATGATCTTTAGGCAGAGGTCACAGAGCCTCCAGGGTCCTGCTGTGGCTACACACCACTTGGAACACATATTCATGCTGCCACTAGAAGACACTTTTTCACATAGGCATTAATGCACATTTATCCTAGTAATTCTGAAAAGAATACACAAATAAAAGATGAGGCCATACTTCTGCCAGTCTCTGGGCACCATCCCTTACAAATTACCAAGTAAGCTTAGAGAAAGATTGAATTTAAAAGCCCCTTTTACTTAAATGTATGGTCATGTGATGCATTGGATCCCAATCTTCTCCCTTACTGCAGAGTGAGAGGGTCCTTAATGGGGTGGCCACAATGGTACAACACTCCTCTCACTGGATCACCGGTCCCAAAAAGAGAGTAAAAAAAGTTATTTTTCATTTTGGTTAAAAACAATTTGCTTATGTCTGTAAGCAGCAGGGAGGGAGGGATCATTGGGTTGTTGGGGATGGAGACAGGGACGTGCGGTCAGGGAAGGCAGGTGAAGCAGAGCCTCACCTAGTATTATGAAAGAAAAAGCTGTCAGCTTTAAGTCTGAAGCTGACAGCTTTTTCCCCATTCAGACCGACTTCTAACAGGTTACACAGAAGGGGAAAGCCTCCCCGCTGTGAAACCTGTCATGAACGGAGTGTACCTGTTAATTACAGGAGGCGCTGCATCCGGCTGTTGACAGCTAAGTTAGGTTACACAGAAGTGGGCTTCCCCACTGCTTGTGTAACCTAGCAGAGTGAGACCAGAGCTGCAACAGCCTAGCCTGCCTAGCCTGTTAGAGGCTTGAGCTCTGTGGATGGTTTGGACCAATGGCAAAGCGCAATTGTTCCAAGCTTGCCAATCATAAAAAGACAAAAAGAACACTGAGGACATCGTTCTCGAAGCCTCACCAGTGACGAGTGAGGGACAGGGAGGCTACTCACTGTCTCCTCCCTCCACACAGAGCTTTTGAATGGAGATTATATTTGCCCGACGATGAGCTTTAAGTTAAAAACTGACAGTGACTATTGCAACCCAGTACAGTTCATCAGTATGTTGATAAAAACTAGTTAGATAAACTTTTTTTTATGCCGGGCATGCTGTTTTTCTTCATTTTGTAATTAAAACATTTTTAATTCAGATCATTATCCAGTATAAATAAAGAACACTCTACGAAGCACTATACAGCAACTCTATTTAATTTAAAGATGATTATTTAAATTATACACGTTTAGGCATGGTAAACAAAATTCTGTAAAAGAAAAAACGCTAAAATATTTTTTCTGAAACTTGCTTTTTACTTTAAAAGGTATAACTTGTTTAAATTTGTTTATTATTGAGATGCTCGATGAGATAGTAAAAGAAAAACGAAAAACATAAAAAGAAGCAATAGGTTTTTTTTTTTTGTCTTTTGTGATAGCTGACTAAATTGCTACACCGTATAAAGTATCTGTAATACTGATAATGTACTCGACATTTTAAAATAATAAAAAAATACTGCTTGTATTTAAAAAGAAACAATAAAAAGAACTTGTTCTAAGGCAATATTTAACTGCTGCAATATCTTTCATTCCTTGCGAATCTCATGCATTATTATTTTATACAACAATCATTGTTATAAAATGTGTTAGCGGTCTGTTTAGAAAGTCTCATTTTGGTCAGCATAGCAAAATGTAAGCATACAAGCCACATATTAAACACATTCACTGCAATCTCATATATTCAAAAGAGCTTGCCAACAGAAATATTGGAGCTGCCAGTGCTCAAATGGGTCTAACAGATGAAATCTCCAGGACTCCTTATCCTTTCTTTACTGCTTAGTGAGCCTCTAACTTGGCACCAGTGAGCAGGTTTGGACTCCTGGCTTCAGTGTGTAGGGTCAACGGCTCACAAAGTAATAAAGAAATGGTAATTATGCCCTAGTGCATTCACCTTTAGGCTAGGTTCACACCAGATGCAGTGCGTTCCGGCCCGATTCTGGCGGGAACACACTTTTTTGTGAGACAGGAAGGGGCGTGACGGGCCATTGAAGTGAATGGCACCGTAGCCACGCCCTCTGGCCGCAATGTGATAGCCCGCATGTGATTGCAAGGCACATTGTGCATGCGGTCCGGTGCAATCAAAATCACTATTTTCATCGTACTGCCCCTGAACCGGACCGCATGCACAATGTGCCTTGCGATCCCGTGCGGGTGATCGTATTGTGGCCAGAGGGCGTGGCTATGGTGCCATTCACTTCAATGGCCCACCACGCCTCCTCCTGCCCCACAAAAAAGTGAGCCAGGCGCAATGCGATGCAGTGTGTTCTGGCCAGAATCGGGCCGTAACGCACTGCATCTTGTGTCAACCTAGCCTTAATGATGAAGTTGAACGTGGCTTCTCTTATATTTCTCATTTCAAAAGTTCCCTTTAAAAACAAAAAACCTCAAAAGGTTTTTTTTGTGGCTTAAAGTGTATGTCTGGGCAAAATAAAAAAATATATATTAATCTCTTTAATACATCCACAAATCCAGTGAGCTTCTATTTTCCTGTTTAAACTGACAACACAGTGCCTTTTCTGCTCTCAAATCCAAAGCAGAACTCCACCTATCCTTAATTCCTCTCCGTCCCTCTCCATGTGCATACATTATTTTTCTTTTCCAGGGCAATGTAGGGGATGGGCTCCTGAGAGATGTAGTTCTGGATGTGAGCCTATGCCAGTAGCAACTGAACTCCCAACTGCTACCTCTGCAAGAATCTTAGACGCCTGATGATGAGATCATAGGAAGAAATTAAAGTTGTTTCTCTCTACAGGAAAAAGATGAAAGAAAAAATGAATGCTGTAGAGGAACAGGAGGAAGTCTGGGGGTAAATTTGGGTCGTGCTTATACATAATATTTAAGGCTGCCTTAAAGGAAACTACTTATGATGCCATTGGTGATCTCCTTCTGAAAACACTAGTTGCTGTAGCTTCACACAAGCATGCATTTCAAATTGAAATCAGAACTCCCTATATGCTTGCTTGTTCCAAGTCAGTGACTTTAAATGTACTGAAACCATTAAAATACCATGAGAGACAAGGAACATTTTAGAATGTGAGGTCAGAAATGGGAGCCACCATACTTCCAAAGTACAGGTTTCCTTTAGGAACTATGAGCAAATGATCCAAAAGCTGTAAGCTCTTCTCTCTCACCAGTCACTCTCTACTTTTAGATTAACGATAAAAAAACAGTGTAATACAAAAAAAATATTGAGGCTGCTGTGGTGAACATGGCTATTGGTTTTCCCAGTCTACCTGTAATTAAACGTTTTGATAAAATGAGACTACATGCATTAGTAATATAAAGGCATGCAGTTCTGTCTGGGTAGCCATGCCACTAAAAGGAAAAATACATAAAGTGGAATCTTA